ACCTCATAAAAAAGAACAAGCTCACACTGTCTTTGTGACAACAAAACAAGAATGGGCCTATTTAAGTTTTTCATGACACAGATGAAAAGATATGTGTAAGATTTTATAGATGCAGGAACGAAAGTGAGATGATATTTTAATACAACAGTACTTTTTTCTGTATCAAGGATCATTCATTTTTAATTTTTATTTGCTGTGTGCACTCACATGCTCATACACACGAGTCATGGCATTAATATGGAGGTCAGAGAACAACTTTCTGGAATCCGTTCTCCATTCCTACCATGTAGGTCCTGGGGATATATCTCAGATTTTTAGACTTGATGGCGGGTGTCTTTACCCAATATGCCAACTGGTAAAGTAATTTAATAAATTCTATTATATTTTTGAAGGTAAGTACATATAGTTAAAAACAGAGGTGATACAATTATTAAATCTGAAATGAGAGGGTATGATAGAGCTAAGAAAAAACTGTGAAACTTCTGATGTTATAGAATATACATAGTAAATAGGGACCAATAGAGGTATCACACCAGTTAAACGAGTACATGGCATGCTGGAGGCAACCAGAAGGAGAAAGCAACAAAATGTACAAAGTTAAAAGAGCTATGATCTTAGGTACAAGGTGTAATTAAAGAAGAAACTGCCTGGGGATAATTTTGTTTCCACAGAAAGCATTCCTGAAGACACGGCAAGTAGCCAGAAGACACAAGTGTGCACAACAAGAGCACATGGACAAGGAGAATAGAGTCTGTGAGCTGGAAAAGAAATAGCCTTTCTCTAAAAAATGTTGTTAGGTCACGGAGGTGGAAACAAATCATAGCCAAAATGCAGAAATTAAAGCAAATGTTGCCACTATTCAGTTTCCTTAAAGAGTCATGTGTCAGAAGGAAGTTGGGCTCAACTGTGCTCAGTGAAGTTTAGTGACAGTGAAAGCCAGATTGCTGTGAATAAAATTCCAATGGAGACCCTTAACCAAAAAACAGCATGTTGCCAAATAACTTTTCAAGAGCCCATCATTTTTGAATTGGGCTCCTGTACTAAACTGGCTAGATCAGACCAAATCAGAAAGAAATGATTCGGTGAAAAGTCATACAATCAAACTGATTTTCTCAAAACCAAGACTTTGGCAGCCACCCATCCAGTGGTGTTGTAAGGGAGTTTCCTTTAACTCTATAAGAAAAGTAATAAAAATTTTCTTTCTGTTAACCATGTGATTTGTTTGTTCTGTCTTTTTTTTATTCCTGCTCAAGCTTCCTTGCAAATATTGACAGATTGGCCAGGCCTGATACAACAACTTTGTATTTCATAGACAATGCTCCAGGATTTATGACTAATGAAAAAGACAATCAGATCTGGAAAACATGCTCTGGTAACATCCAATTGCCACTTACAGATACAACTGGGAAACATATATCCCATGAAATGACTGAAGTGCCAAAACCACAGAGGTTGAGGAAGGAGAATGAGAGGAATTCCAACTGATGTTCAATATCCTCAACTTTCCTTTCTGGAGATAAATTGAAAAGAAAATAAATTTAAATATATCAACATTAATAGCACGAGTGTCATTGTAGTGGCATTATTACAAAATTGTTTGCTCCAAAAACTTAAGTGGAAATGGATCAAAGACCTCATCATAAATCCAACTGCACTGAAACTCTTAGAAGAGAAAGTGGGAGATACTCTTCAATGAATTGGTACAGGAGACTGCTTCCTGAACATAACACCAGTGTCACAGACACAGATCGACAATTAACAAATGGGACTTCCTGAAACTGAGAAGCTTCTGTAAGGCAAAGGACACAGACATCAAGACAAAAAGGCAGTCCACAGAATGGGAAAAGATATTCACTAACCCCACATTTGACAGAGGGCTGACCTCCAAATTTTACAAAGAACTCAAGAAGCAAGTCTCCAAAACACCAAAGGATCCATTTAAAAAGTGGGCTACAGAACTAAATAGAGAATTCTCAATAGTGGAGTCTAAAATGGCTGAGAGACACTTAAGAAAGTGCTCAACATCCTTAGCCATCAGGGAAATGCAAATCAAAACAACTCTGAGATACCATTTTACTCTTGTCAAAATGGCTAAAATCAAAAATACCAATGACAGCTTATGCTGGAGAGGATGTGGAGAGAAGGGAACACTCTTCCACTGCTGGTGGTAGTGCCAACTCGTACACCCACTTTGGAAATCAATATGGAGATTCCTCAGGAAAATGGGACTCAGTCTACCACTAGACCCAACAATTCCACTCTTAGGCATATATCCAAAAGATGCAAATTCATACAACAAGGACATCTGTTCCTCCACGTTCATGGCAGCATTATTTGTAATAGCCAGAACCTGGAAGCAACCTAGATGCCCCTCAACTGAAAATGTAGTACATTTACACAATGGAGTACTACTCAGTGGGAAAGAAATGGAATCTTGAAATTTTCAGGCAAATGGATGGCACTAGAAGAAACCATCCTGAGTGATGTAACCCAGTCACAAAAAGACAAACATGATATGTACTCACTGATTTATGGATTTTAGACATGCATCAGGAGAGTGCCAGTCTGCGATTCTACTGACAGAGAGTCTGGGAAACAGGAAAGAACCTAAAAGAGATATGCATGGTACCCTGGAGAAGAGGAATGAGGCAAGATCTCCTGAACAGATTGGGAACACTGCAGGAGGTGGAGGGGAGTGGGAGCTGGGAAGAAGAGAGGGGGAGAAGAGGAGGAGAGAGTAGGTTATGGGGGAACAGGAAGGTTGAGTGGGGTGGGGTAGAATAGGAGGAGAACAAGATGAGAATTTACCATAATAGAGGGAGTCATAGGTTTGAAGAGAGATCTGGCACCAGTGAGACCTCCAGTGATCTACAATGATGACAAAAACTGGCAAGCTAAGCAATAGTGGATAGACTACCTTAAATGCTCATTCTTGATAATGAACTTGATGTCTACCTTATTTGCCATTCTAGAACCTTCATCCAGTGACTGATGGAAGCAGAGACAAACACCCACAGCTAAAAACTGAACTGAACCCATGGAACCCAGTGTCAGAGAGAGAGGAGCGATGAGCAAATGGGCAAAGAATGGGCTGGTGAAACCAGCAGAGACAGCTGACCTGAACAAGGGGGAGCTCTAGGGCCCCAGATGGACAGCTGGGAGGCTAGCATGGGACTGATCCAGATGCCCTGAGTGTGAGAGTCAGTGAGGAGGCCTGGGCAACCTATGGGGATCAGTATTTATCGCTGGCATACAAATGGACTTTGTGTGTCCATAACACAAAGAGGGATGCTCTCTCAGCCTAGACTCTTAGGGGAGTGTCTGTACCCTGCCCTGAGCGAAATGACAGACTCTGGATATCCCCTATGTGGAAGGAATTGGGGATAGGGTGGGAGGCTGGGGGGATTGTGGGAGGTTACGGGAGGAGGGGAGAGAGAGGGAACTGGGATTGACATGTGAAGCAAGCTATTTAAAATTAAAGTAATAAAAAGACTAAAAAATAAAAAAATGCTCATAGAAGTAATTGCTTTACTTTGGAATTCTGTGTTTATCTAATTTCTCTTATTTTGCCTACTGTGTAAAGACTAGCTGTATTCATGGTGACAGTGCCAATGTCAGGAGATTCCAGCAGCAGAAACCTGGGTTTAATTAGGTCTTCTGTTTGAGGATGTTTGCTGTATTCTTTGGAATGAGTTGGGGCACAGTTCACTGTGTAGCCAATTTATGAAGTTTACATGATACTAAATGTAGACAGGATGTTGTTCCTATACAAAATTGAGAAATTATATTTATTCCCTGAATGAACACAAGGGTCAAATCACAGAATAACCAAGAAACCTCTCTGGTCAGGAGCATACCTTCCATTGTGTATTTACACTGAACATGCCCAGAACTGAAGTAATTGTTTATTAGGAATCATGGGATTGCCAATCAGGATAGAGCTAATTTCATCCAATCTGTGCAACTGTTACATACTAGGGACAGACAGCAGACTAGAAGGAAACCGATGTTTGGAAGACTATCAGTATCCCATTACAGAGGATTTTGTGACCAGGTTTAATGTCAAATAAGTGGATGCATTGGTTATTTTCAAAGTTATACTTTGTAATTCAAATATCTATAAATCAAAATACCATATTCAAGAGTGCATTTTAAGAGATTTTTAGGTGCTTGGTCAGTACAAAAAGGGCTTAAGCAATATAAAAATCATCCTTATGGATATTTTGAGCTCAGGAGTTCTAAAACTATGAATTAATTTTGAATGTAGAGCCCCCCAAAAGTATAGGGTTTCCAAGCTGAGTTTGGAAACACAGGTCAAAGGAACCACTTTCAGGGACAGAGGATATATTTCTATCACAAACACAGGAAGGATATACCCCATCATTACAGTTGGTCTGTATGCAGATCTCAAGAAACAACACACAGTGTGGATCTGAAAATAAGATTTTTTTTCAAGAATTGTGTCCCCAACAGGATGGGCAATAGGACTTCTAAATGACAGAAGTAAGAAATGGAAATGGCTGTGTATGCTATTTCCTTTGGAGATGTGGTTTTCCAAAGCGGAAAAAGACAATAGACATCTTTGCTGCTTATCTTGTAGGAGCACAGTGATTAAAGTTCTTCATCTGTCTTCCCAACCCTTAGAAGAAGAAACTAGTAGACCAGGTACAAGAAACAAGCTCAGATTTACACCAGACCAACATTTTAAAAAATAGGAAGGTATAAATAAAAAAGATAAAAACACAAATACATTGCTATAGTTAAATGTCAAGAATAACATTTGAAATATTCTGTCATGAGCTATCTGCTAAGAGTTGGTAACTGACTCATTTTATGATCACAGAAATTCTAACAATGGAGCAAAATGTAAAAATGGACACAGTCACCAAATTAGGGATTATAGAAGGAGATTTGTGTATTGAGGGAAAAGAGTTGAACATATTTCAAGACAGATGGTCAGGATTTCTGAGGATGGATGCTCTCCTTCTGTGTGATAATGGGTGACATCATCACTGACAGCACTTTCCATCACCTACTGAGGTCCATCAACTCACACCAAAGCAATTCAATTGGTGGAACCCATATTGTAGCTTCTGCTTTGCTCCTGGGTAAGTACCATTTAATGTAATTATGTCTATCTGATTTAGAATTTAAGAAAAGTATTAAGACTTGTTTGGTAGGATAGTCTATAATTAATCTCTAGGCTTTCAATTGTTTTGCCTTTATGATTTGCAAGGAAAGAGAAATGACAAAAATGATTTAAAGCAAGGATTAAATTACCTTTCTTATAGTTCTGATTGTTAACTGAGATTTATAAGCTGCCATAGCATCTTCTTCATGATGTTAAAAGGGGTCATGGGGAAACAGCTTTCAATTTAAACAGACTGAAAGCCAAGCATACACTTAAAAGTTGGTTACTACTTGGAATGCACTTTTCCATAGTAACCGTATAATAAGAGTGAGCTTGGATACGCTCTGAAAAGGCAAGGGGTGGTAACTCTTACACAGATTTTTGCTTTATTTTGATGTATTTTCTATGGAAAGTACCTTGGCTTCATTTCAACATAAACTTTTCCTGCATGAAAACTTTGAATATAAACCATTGTCTGGCACATAGTAGATGCTTAATATATATTTGCTAAATAGATATGTATGGTGCTAAGGAGGCATGAGCCAGTTACATTTAGCTACACAGCTTCAATTACCTCACTTTGCCCATTATTCAGGTTGCTAAGTGGATCATCAATTGAACATGTACAATGGACAGAGTACACTGGCAAGCATTCCCGATAAGGAATTACAATCTATTGAGGAAAGACACATACAAGATGTGGCTTTGTGTCTAGCAGAAAACAAAATAATTAAAAAGAAGTAAAAAGAGAGTGTAGTATTGTAGACTATCAGTATATCCGAAAGTGTATTCAGTTCAGTTAATACCAATTTCTAGTGTGAACAATGAAATTTAGTGCCCATTTTATCAGCATTGATATCAATACTGAATTTTTTTTATTTAACCAAAGGCTGAAGTAGGATTCAATGTCGAGTATTTCAGTAATTGTAGTGATTAGCAGTTTATTGTGTTACTTACATTGTACTACGTATTTGTTGAATATAGCTTGTCTTGTATAGAAAAGAGACACACAATACATAAAGGTGGCCTAGTGTTCTCTCTGCTTTGTTGATATACTTCAAAGTGCTCATGCTGAAGCCTCATCCACCGCAGCCTTCATTTAAGTCCTGGCCAGATAAAAGGGCCAGTACACCATAGACAGTGGCAAAGCAAACCTTCAGAAAGAAAGGCATGGCTAACATTAAGGAAGAGCCACAGGGGTAGGTAGATGAGTACTCTATGAGCCAAGGCCGACACTTAAGGCTTTGTCTCAGGGATAAAAGGTAGGGGCCGTTTCCAGAAGCCAGTGATGCTTACAGCTTTGGAAGAAAACTTCAAAACTGAGTTTCAGTCCAGGAGAAAGCACACATAGACTAAGAACCCTGAAAAATCCTTGACCTCTGGTCATCTGGTATGCATGTCATCTACAAAGATCAGCCTTAGAGGAAACAAAGCAATGTGAAAGGCTTAGGGAGCAAACTGATGGTAAATGAATAGGCTCCAGAACTTTACTGAAAAAGCGAAGAAGCTGCGGTAGCCAGAAGCAGATCCAGAGAAACTACCAAAGGTTGGGGGTAGGGCATGACAGCCCGTCCGATATACTACTGTGCCCATCCTTCCAACAAACTCTCTTTTGGCCTGCATCACAGGTTTGATTAAACAAGCAAAAAAAAAAAAACTGATCACAGGATTTAAGATGTGGAGTTCAGTGTAGTCACAGGGATGGAATCGCCCACGAACAAAATAAACCAGACCCAAGACGATTCCTGGGTGGGGAAGGAACTCTACCGTGGCCTTTGGTCTTCAGAGTAGAACGCTTACCGGCTAGAAGTAGAAACCATGGAAATAAAAAAGGAAGTAGCAAATGACACTCAAAAAAAAAAAAAAAAGGCACCACGAAGAGGAAATCTGTATGTACAAGAATTGCGGGTCTTGCCCAACTCTCGTTGGTCTTAGAAGTACTACGGGCAGAAGAAACAGCCCAGCCTGTACCAAAATAGTTGCCCATTCTCTTCAGAGTGGAGTCTGTAGGTAGGAGGTACCAAACTCTTATATTAGAAGAGTGAGTAGAAAGCATGAGGGACTGTCATTGCGATAATCTGGACATTGTGATATTAATTTCTAAAAGTTTTAAACGTGTGCATTTTTTAGTTCTGTGCATATTCTAGATACTAATCATCCATCAAATTTATAGCAGGTAATTTTTTTCTTCTTTTTTATTATTATTTTTTTAATTTAAATTTAAATTAGAAACAAGGTTGCTTCACAAGTCAGTTCCAGGTCCCGCTCCCTTTTCCTCTCCTCCTCCCATGCCCTCCCCCCCCAATATCCCCTCATTTCCCCAGGGAGGGTGAAGCCCTCCTTGGGGGTGTCCATAGTTTGTCAATTCATCCAGGGCAGGGCCTAGACCCTCCCCCAAGAATTCAGGGTCAGAGTGCATCTCACATTGTTGGATGGGAGTCCAAAGTCCATTTGTATACTCGGGATAAATACTGATCTACTGCCCAAGGCTCAATAGATTACCTAGGCCTCCTCACTGACACCCACATTCAGGGGGTCTTGATCAGTCCCATGCTGGATTCCCAGGCATCAGCCTGGGATTCAAGAGCTAACCCTCGTCAGGTCAGCTGTTTCTGGGGGCAGGTAAAATTTTTTTTAACCCCATTCTTGTAGATGTCCTCTGCCTGGCAGTGAATGATAGTGTCCTTAGCACTACAGAGCCCTTTAGTTCTGCGATGTCACACTTACTTATTGTTGATCTTCATGCCTGGGCTATGTGAGTCCTGCTCAGAAAGATTTCCTGCACATATAAAAGTTCAAGTGGCTCCCTTTCTTTGCTATCAGTATCCTGAATTTCTTGATCCACTTAGAGTAGATCTTTGTGCAGGGTAGGAGATAAGAATTTACTCTTGTTTTACATGAGGCTATCTGGTTTGAGCAACACCATTTGTTGAAAATGTTCTCATTTATTCAATTTCAAATTATTTTTCTGGAGGTGTGTGTGTGTGTGTGTCTGTCTGTCTGTCTGTGTGTCTCTGTGTGTACGTATTCAGGCACACATGTATATATATATATATATATATATATATATATATATATATGCAAGAGTGTGGGTTTATATGTGGGTTCTCAGTTCTATTTCAATGGTCAATGCAAAGTTGTTTTTATGCCAGTACTATGTTGTTTTTATCAGTATAGCTCTGTAGTATAATTTACAAACAGGGGTGGCAATACATTCAGAGGTTCTCTTATATCTCAGAATTATTTTGGTCATTCTGATTTTTTTGTGTTTCCAAATGAAATTGAAGATTATTTTTCCAATTTCTATAAACCCTTGCATTGGAATTTTGATTGAGATTGTGTTGGATGTATAAATTGTTTTTAGTGTCACTATTGGTAAGTCAACTACACTCCAGGAAAGCCCCAAGAGCAATGGGAAATATTAACTAAACCTGATGAGAAAAAAAGAGTTCTCAACGTTGGGTGAGTAGGGAGATGAGGTTGGATACTGGGAGTTGGTGGAGAGAAAATACACTCTAAGAAATTTTCAATGAATTAATCAAAATATTATATTAAAATTTTAAATGTGTGACTACTTCTTACAACAAAATGGAAATATATAAAAAAATGAAATCCCCTTGTATTGCTACTTCATTCCATAGTTTAGTATTTTTATTTATGAAATATTTAATTACTCCACAATCAAGGCTGTTATTATCTTGCTTTAACAATTTGTTTTATTTTCACTTTCAAAATAACATACTGAGAACTCTTGATAGAAATACAGAAACAAAACTAAACAAAAATCAAAGCCAACAATAACAAAATACCTGTCTGCAGCACATATTGCAAATAACAATTGTTCCTGAAACAAGTGTTTTCTGTATTTTAAGGTTGTTTACTGGGAGGATGGTAAATCTGATATAAAGACAGCTCTACCAATTTCCTTGAAAACAGAATTACAAAACACCACTCCTCTAACCATAGTTATAAAACTTTCCCCCTATACTTTGTAAAAACAACTATATGATCTACATTAAATTCTTTAAAAATTCATATTCTTGAGACTATAATTATGTCATTTACCTCTTCCCTTTCATCTCTTCAAAACCTCTCGTGTATCCCCCTTGCCCTCTTTCAAATTCATGCCCTTTGTTTCTTTGCTGCTTCGTACAATGTGTGTATGTGTGCTTGTGTGTGTGTGTGTGTGTGTGTGTAGCACACTAAACAGCTGTCCAAAGTGTTTCTTTTTTAGTTTGTTTGATTTGTTTTGTTTTTCTAAGACAGGGTTTCTCTGTGTAACAGCTATGGTTGCCCTAGAAGTCTTTCTGTAGACCAGGCTGGCCTTGACCTCACAGAGATCCAACTGCCTCTGACTCCCAAGTACTGGGTTTAAAGGAATGTGTCACCACCACCTGGCCTGCATTTTTATAATATAGGTGTGAAGTTGGGGATACGACTTTCATCACATGCATTTCTAAGCTGTGCCCCTCCTAGTATAAAGAGCCACACTCTGCAGTTCAGAGATTCTATTTATTTGTTTCAACTATTGGTATGTGTGCCTTTGAGTTAATATTACTGTCATTTAATTGCTATTTGTATAATCTGATCTAGGATTAGAATTGGAGTCATGTAACTCTTACAAAATGAATTGCATAAAATTTCTAAACATCTTTTTGTATTGAAGCAATTATTAAAGCATATAAATTAATGCATGCTAGATATATATGACCATATTGTTAAGATGCTGAAAATAAGTGGGGCATATCACTTTAATATTCTTTTGAAAATATCTTGGCTAAAGTATATCTCTTTAATTAATTATAAAATCAGGTTATAGAAAATGTCTCCTGGAAACACCAGTCAAACCTAGTAGCCTACTTTTGGGGAAATTGAATTTTATTTTATTTTATTTTTAAAAATTTGATTTTCGAATCTAGTAGCTTAAAATCTCTCTGTCAATTCAGAGTTCCACTACAGAGAAGGACACAAGATATA